CAAACAGATCAAAGGCTAAAAGCTTGAGTTCGGGGTAGGGCATGAGTTTTCATGCCTCGGAGACATCCAAAGATGTCTCACAGACACTTGAAAACAGGGATCTGGAGTGCAGGGAGAGAAGAAATCTGGGCTAGACATGAAGCGGGGTCTTTGCGGTCATAGGAGTGGTGAAGTTCGCGGGGGGGGGGGCGGCGGGGGGGCTGTATTCAGGTGAGCCCGTATACTCTAAGTAACAGAAGCAGGTTAGAATTTGGCTGCGGGGCACACAGAAGGCAGGCGAGGAGACTGGCGCTGGTTCTAGAGAGAAGCACAAAATGTCCCTTTCTATAAGCCAAAGGCACACAAGCAAGGCGTGCCCGCAGTTTCGCACTGTCACAGCAGGCTTCGGCCGGGGAGGTAGCGCCGGCTCATTCTCCTGCCCTCGGGGCGGTCGGTGCCAGAGTCTCCGGACAGATTTGTCTGGTCCCCGACATTCATACCTGCGGTGAGGAGGGCAAAACCTGAGGGACCCGTCGGCAAGCTCTCCCGGACCCGCGACCCAGGTTCTGCGAAGACCACCCTGCGGTGGGTGACGGGGGTGGTTTGCGGGCCCAGCCAGAACAGCGGCCGGGTACCCACCAAAATTAGCACCACAGCCACCCCGGGAGCGCGCAGCCCCACGGCCCTAAGAGGGCACCGGAAGCCAGCGCACGACTTCCTGTTCCCAGCCTGGAGGGCCGCTCTAGCGCGTCTCATCTCGCTGGCCTTCCCGCCGGCCTGTGCTCCGTGACCGCGCAGAACCCTGTGGGAGCCGAACCCAACCGCGCGCGGGCGGCTCGCACCCCCAGCACTGGGCAGGCAGCACCAGGGTGCTCCCCACGTGGCGCGGCCCGAGCTGACGGACTCCGGACCCCGGACCGCCGCGGCGGGGCTCAGGCCAGGAGGGGGCCTCCAAGTCCAGGGCAGTCGCACGGATTCGCGCTGGAATTTTTTTTTTTTTTAATTTTTAATACATTTTTAAAATGTTTTACTTCTTTATTTTTTGAAAAAGAGAGACAGCGTGAGCAGGGCAGAGTCAGAGAGAGAGGGAGACACAGAATCCGAAGCAGGCTCCGGGCTCTGAGCTGTCAGCACAGAGCCCAACACGGGGCTCGAACCCACGAACCATGAGATCATGACCTGAGCCGAAGCCAGATGCTCAACCGACTGAGCCACCCAGGTGCCCCTCGCGCTGGAATTTTCCTCTGTGTTCCGGGGAGCCAACGATTTTTACCTCCATTATTACGTGACTTGAAGTCACTCGTTCACACCCCAAACCACAATCCTGCCAGTCTTCAAAAGTCGCTGCCATCTAAAGCCACTGCGGTGTAAAAGAAAAAGTTCACTTCATTGCCATCACCGAGAATAGCATTTATTAGATGCCGAATCGCATGTCAGATAATCACAGCCTTGTGAGAGTATGCATTCTAGAGCTAAGAGTGATGAGAGAATACACCAAAATTTGTAAAATCAAAACATTAGACAGTATAAGTGCACACAACAAACACTTCTGAGGTATACAAAGGAACTAGAGATTGCAGCATTTTCTCAGGGTTACATAAATGTACATTTATGTTATACTACCCGCCCCTCCGCCCCCCCCCCACCCCAACCCTGAGTGTGTTAATGCAAGGAGGGATGTTGAAAACTAAAAGACAAAAAACAAAAACAAAAACCCTGTGGTCAGATGGGCCATGAAAAGATGGGTAATAATCATCCTGATATTGGATCATTAGCTCAGTCTACAAAACTAAAACAGATGAATAGACATACTTGAAATGGAGATCATTTAGTTATTTTTTAAACAGATGGTCAAAGTAAAAGACTTTACTACTGAAATCCTATATAAAGACAAGTTTAATGAACAATTCAAAATAGACTATTTAGATAAACTATAACCTGCTCTGTACACATGTGCAGTACTGGCAGATTAAGCACAAGTTATGGTATTAGATCATGTAACACGCCGCAGTCATCAGAACAATGCCACGTAATTACGTGGAATCTCAGAAGTCAAAGTCTCAAAACACCATTTACTGTGAAATGTCACTTGTTTTTAATTTTAACTCCCTGTAGACTGGGTTAGTCATTTTCTGTGTTAAATGGGGAGATGTGAATACCCTATTAACTATGGCAACAAAGCTGTAAGCAGAACTATTTTGAGTCCAACTCCTTTGAGATGAACAACTAAATTCCACAATTTCTTTAGTTATAAAATATAAACTGTGGACATCTGAATTCTACTGGAATAATGCTGTCTGTAGCAATGATGGCTGTTAATATGCCCTGATATTCAGGCAATCACGTTAAAAACTTGATACACATTTTTATCTATCCATCAACAACAGAAACCAAATTTGTTCAAAAGTCAATTTCTTTGTACAAAGTTCTCACCCACCATAGTGTGTCAACATCCATGCTGCAGAAGGTAGTGAGTGAACCAACCATCCCTAACAATAAACTGCATTTTTCATCCCTCTATTAACTTTTATCCAGTATTTGTTAATACTAACATAGTTGGCTAATATCTCTGAGTTAAATGACCAACTGTGAAGTCTATTTCCATGAGCTGACACTAAATGGAAGGGTGAAAAAGCCATCATCACACAAACAGCATGGATTTCACTGGTGGACTGACCCTTTCTTCCGACTGGCTGGGCTCAGAGCAGCTTGGTACACATCCACCAAGTGTGCTTCGGTGCAAATGTACAGTAAGGCAACAACGGAAAATATGCCTCTTTTGGAGTAACTGACACTCAAACTTGTTTTGTTTTACGTTTTTTTCTGCCTACTGGTCAATAACAATGATTACTACACCAAAAAGGCATTTTAATTACTCTTCTGTGTATATTACTGTCTTTTTGATGCTATTTTTCTAATTGCTTATGGAGGCTTGGCATAATCTCACAAAATCTAGAGAATAAAGAAAAATGTAAAATCTGAATTTTAATTGTGAAGGAAACCTCATCTGGAAAGGTGACTTCCCACACTGAGGTGCAGAACAGCACCTACGGCATAAACTCTCACCTTCCCCCAAATGGTCTTAGGAGCAAAGGAAAGGATGACAGCTTCCATCTCTTATGTCAGCCCCATCCTGTCCAAGCGCCTTCTAAGCCAGCCTTCCCTACTTACCTTTCTGCAGCATCTGTGCAAGTAGGGGCCTCTTTCCCAATTTCATTCCCCACCCTGCCACTCTGTTCATTCGGCCGAAACAGGAGAGCCCCTAACACGTGATGATGCGCTTCCCACCACTGGCAGAAGCAAGGGAGCTGGCAGATAGTACTCCTCGGTATTCAGCAAAGTATATCCCCAAGTTGGCTGATAAGAAATCCAACGAGAGACCATGTCCACACAATTCTAAGCTCCCCCAAAGACTTGCTGAAGAAAAACCTACAGATGACTTCACTTTTTAATTTAAGACGCAAAAGCTCTAGCAGACCCGTGTTTTATATTGAGTGGAGACAACAGAAACAGAGTCAAGCGTGACCGGAACATTCAGAGCCCAGGGTGTCAACTGTGGATCTGCAAACAAGAAACAAGAACAACAAAAGGGAGGAAAGGAGTGAGCTGGGTTGGGGGTCTCCATTTCCCTTACTCACCAGGAATAGTTTCTTGCCTCTAAATAGTGTTAAGCGCTTACAGCAGTAGCCAGCATCATTTTGTATATTTACTTCTCAATCTGCCGTTCTGTAGTTCTGTAGAAAAACCACATCTTCCAAATACTACTTTCCTAAAGAGGCCTATTGTTGCTCATGGAGTTTCCCAGTCATAACCCCATTTTACGTCATACTTCTATACTATTTAAGTAGAATAAGGCCATTCTCACATCCTGATCAAAAGTCCATTTAAAAACAGCTTCACTGGGGTGCCTGGGTGGCTCAGTCGGTTGAGCGTCCGACTTCGGCTCAGGTAATGATCTCACGGTTTGTGGTTCGAGCCCCACGTCAACAGCCTCTGTGCTGACAGCCAGTTCAGAGCCTGGAGTCTGGTTCAGATTCTGTGTCTCCCTCTATCTTTGACCCTCCCCCACTCATGCTTTCTCTCTCTCTCTCAGAAATAAAAACAAAAAACATTTGAAAAAAAATAAAAACAGCTTTGCTGATAGGTACACCATCAGTTTTGCTTTAAAGAGAAATTGTGTATGACTGTATACTTACAAGACTGACTGAATCTTTAACATTAACAACCAACCCAGTATCTTGCTCCAATATTTGTATGTAACAGCAGTATCTAAAGACTTACATGGTGTCAAGTAGTTTGGTGAAACTCTAAACGTTTTCTATATGTAGTTTTCTTTGGAGATGAAGAGGAAAAAATTTTTTTAAACCAAAACCCAACTTAAACCATAAGGACTGTACTCTGTAGTGTCTGCAATCTCTAATCTGATCACAGGGATGGGAATTTGAACTGGAAGTCTTGGGGGAATCTTTCTGTTGCTTTATAACCACACCTGTAAGCCAGGCTTGGAATGAAGCACAAGGGCAGTGGAGGGGTTCTAGGGTGCGTGTGCATGGGGAAGCCTCCATGCTGACAGACCTCGTCCACCCATCTCAGCCTCCCTAGAGGCCTGCAGCCTCTACACAGATGCCACCACACAATAGTATTGAAGAAAATGCACAGCCTTTAGCATCAGAGGGACCCAAGGTTAAATGCCACCCTCAACACATTGCTCTTTTCATCTTGGGCAAGGTACTGACTTTGACTTTACCCTCTGTGGGCTTCAGTTCCCTCATTTATGAAAAAAGGATAGCCCTTTCTCTGTCAGATTTATCCTGAAGATTAAATTAGGTGATATACCATATTCACCAAACAGCAGTTACTATTATTCATAGAGAGGCAGGTAATGTGCTTCGGTAGGTAAACCCTTTGAGAGAGAACCAAGTATCTTTCACTCGAGTCCAAGCACCAGAAAGGGCTGCAGTCACACTGTCAAAAACTCTTTGCAAATGAGTCAGAAAGGCCAGGGGCATCAGCTCTCAGAAAGGGAACTCCACAGATACTAATTAGCATCATAACCACCAAACTATTTCCATACCAGAAATACAAGCTTCCAAATCACTTCAGAAATTAACACATGAAATATCAGGTCTTAGAACAAATGTTACATTCAGACAGTTACAGCCCCAAAAAAGTCTAACACACAGATGTACTACTTTCCTAGACAGGAGATCTGCAGACCTGGCAAAAAATAAGATAAAATTCTCCTCCTTCTAAAAGTGAACAAACCATGTAAGAAAATTAAAAGAACTCCAGCAAAACTTTCACTTTAATGAAAACTGAATTAAAAAAAAAAAGTTCTGTATCATTATCTGGTTCATACAAATGGTATCTGAACAGTGGGTGAGTTCCTGAGTTAGAATCCTGGCTTCATTCACTGGCGGGGACAGTGATTATGCTCCCTTGGTTCTAAAGTAGAAATCACAGTACCCAAAGCAAGGGTGGGGTGCAGGGCATGGAATGTGTATCAGGTGCCTGGCATGTAAAGGACAACTATTCCCCAGTTTTCAGTACAGATATGGAAAAGCAGAGTGGGAATGCATACTGGCTATATTTACATGGTGGTTTTCTTGTGGGTTTGCTGATGAGTAACAAGATTTCTATTCAACCTGAAACTTTTCTTACACGTGGTACATTTAAAAGGTTCCTCTCCTGTGTGGCTCTTCCGGTGGCATGCAAGCTCTGAGTCCAAAATAAAGCTTTCTGCATTTGTTTTACGTTGATGGGGCTTTTCCCCTCTGTGAATGCTCTGATGCGAAATAAGCTCAGAGACACGGAGGAAGGTCATCATGCACTCGGGACATTTTAAGGGTTTGAATTTTGAGAACAAAAGCAAATTTTCCCCGCAGTCACCAAAGTGTTCAGAGTCATCCTCAGAGTCGTCCTCATGGCCCTGCGTGGGGAGGACAGGGTGTGAGGGCTGCTCACACTGAGCACTTCACACACTGAGCATACCGGTCCTGGGTGGCTGACATGTGCGTTTCCTTGTGCAAAGCAAGATTTGTTTTCTGACCAAAACATTTACAACAGTCGGTACATTCATAAGCTTTTTTGGCAGCATGGGCTTTCTGATGCTGTGACAATCCTGGGAGCCACATAAAACCTCTCCCACAGATGCCACATGTGTGGGGTTTCTCCTTTATGCAGATATTCGTGTGCCGAGACAGATGTGAGTGCTGGCGGAAGCTGCTGCCACCCTCAGCACACTTACAAGGCTTCTCGCCAGTGTAGATTCTCCTGTGTGTCCTTAGGTTGGCTCTGTGATTGAAAATCTTCCCACAGTCACCACATTTATACTTTTTCTGTCCTGACTGAGTTCTCTGATGCAAAACAAGGCATGAATTATCATTGAAGCTTTGGTCACATTCAGGACATGTATATAAATCTCCAGCTTCTTCCCTAGGAAATTCAAGAATTTCAGAAAGTGCTGTAGTTCCCAAACACTGAGAAAGTTCTATGAATGGGGTATGGTTTTCAATGGTAACCGATAGGCTTATGAACCTTTTCTTGCAAGCAGGAGTTCCACCTGATCCTCTCCTTTCAGAGTCTCTACCTTCAGTGTCAGAAGATTTTTCTGGGTAACCGAGAAGGGGCACAGCAACGGAGGAGTTTTCTGGGGCAAGTTCTTCAACTCCTGTAGAGTCTAGATTTAAATGCTGAGTAATCTCAGTCTTGCCTTCCGCTCCTGCTGATAAAAACAAAACAAAGCAAAATATAGACAGCACCCTCAAGCGGTACTGGGGAAAGAAGAAGCTAGTTACACAGAGAACCAAGAAACTGTGGATGGCTTATCCTAGAACCCAGACACGGACACTATACAAAATCAGGCCAGCAGCCTCTACTGGCTTCCCCAGGGATCCGGTTGTAGGTAAGCCAGTGAAGGGAGGAAGGAGAAAAGAGCTATAACTAAGTCAGGGTCCAGTGGGATAGGAACTGAGGGCAGTCTTGGTACACATGGTCTATTGGGGGTTTCCGGTTAGTCTCCTGAGTCTGAACTTTTCATCATTTATGTTGAATGACACCACATAAATAATGAGCAACCAAAATTGGAACAGAGACTTGGGTTCATATTTAAGAGAGAAAAAGAGCAAGTGAGGATTTTTCTACCTAGCAGAGAAACACTGTGGTTATTAGAAATAGTTTTATTGTCACTAGGAGAGTTCTTGAAAATTTCTTTACCTCTCCCTGAGGAAAGATCAATGCAGAGCTGCCAGGCATACAGCAGCTAAATAGTAACCAATCTCACTCCTAGGATAGCTAACAAACCTGGGCCTGCCATAAAGCATTCCCTTTTTTTTTTTTTTTTAATTTTTTTTTTAATGTTTTATTTATTTCTAGGAGAGAGAGAGAGACAGCATGAGCAGGGGAGGGTCAGAGAGAGAGGGAGTCACAGACTGAAACAGGCTCCAGGTTCTGAGCTGGCAGTCAGCCCAGAGCCCGACACGGGGCTCGAACCCACGAACCGCGAGATCATGACCTAAGCGAAAGTCGGACGCTTAACTGACTAAGCCACCCAGGCGCCCCAAGCATTCTCTTTTTTTATTATTAATTTTTTAACGTTTATTTATTTTTGAGAGACAGAGAGATAGAGCATGAGCAGGGGAGGGGCAGAGAGCAAGAGGGAGACACAGTCTGAAGCAGGCTCCAGGCTCTGAGCTGTCAGCACAGAGCCAGGTGCAGGACTCAAACTCATGGACCACGAGATCATTACCTGAGCCGAAGTCAGATGCTTAATCGACTGAACCACCCAGGTGCCCCCAAAACATTCCTTTTTAACATTTGTCCAAATATTCTTAATTTATAAAGCCAGCATGTCAATACAAAAGGAGTCTTTCTTTTTTTTTTTTTTAAAGGATTTTTAAAAATGTTTTATTTATTTCTGAGAGAGAGAGAGAGAGAGAGACAGCATAAACAGGGGAGGGTCAGAGAGAGAGGGAGACACAGAATCTGAAACAGGCTCATGGCTCTGAGCTGGCAGTTAGCACAGAGCCCAACACGGGGCCTGAACCCACGAACCGTGAGATCATGACCTGAGCCGAAGTCGGTCGCTTAACCAACTGAGCCACCCATGCGCCCCAAAAGGAGCCTTTCCTTCTGGAGAAACAGCCCTATGATTGCTCCAGTGCACTGCCTAGAAAGGGTTTCTGGGTTGCAGTGCAGTGTAGGAATCCAAATGATACCTCATGGTTTTGCTGATTTGAGGAGACCAAATTCAGGGATGCCAAGATGGCTAGAATTTGACAGCAAAATACTGGGGATGAGACAGGTGCCCAGGCAGAGCTCTGGGCACCTAGATAGGGCCCCCTTAAGACTTTGGCTGAGTATTAACTTTTAAGTGCATATGCGAAAACTACCCCAACTGGAAAAAAGAATCATCAAAAAGGGACAGAACAAGCTTCAGAGTTCACATAATAGTCCAATAGTTCATGTTCCCAACAGCCAAAGAGGAACACACAAGGTTCTGGGTAGTATCTTCAAAAAGACTCCCTTAGCAGCAGGTCAAATCACCCCTAGACTAAAGGTTGCTCTAAAGGCTGCTCTGAATACACCCCAACAAAGCAAAAAGCAAGCCCTGAAAGGATCATACTGATCCCAAATAACTTAAATGCAAAGTCCAAAAACATTTTAAAAAATACAACAAAAGCCAACATTGACAACATAAAACTGACAATGTCCAGCATCCAATCAAAAATTATTAGACATGTAAAGCAGCAGAAATCTATGACCCATAAGTAGGAGCAAAATCAATGAACAGAAACAGATCTAGAATTGACATGGCAAAAATAGTAGAAAGAATGTTAGAATAGCTATAACTGATATGATATAGTTCCCATAGTCAACCCTAGTCAGAGACAAACACCACTCAGGCATGGGAACATTTCTGTATACATTCCCCTTAGGTGATAAAGGCATAGCACCGCTTTAGGAGTAAATTATTTTTGAATCTTTAACAAATGATAATAACCTACACTCATGAGGTTTTGCAAGTAAAACTGTGAATTGACTATAACAAATGTTTGGGAAGATTACTAGGTACTGTCATGTCTCATGCAAAACCAGAGTCACTGTACTAGATTGGATTTTTTTGTCTTAAAAAATCATCTCATCCTTTGAAAATCGCACTGTCATGGAAGTTCTTATCATATCCACACAGATCACCTAGAGGTGGGCCCCACTGCCCCATACCAACATGTGAATAAGACATGAAATCCTGTTCCTAGAACTGACCAAAATTACAAAGTGCAGGAAAAACAACTGCCTTACCCATCAAGGCCATATCCTCGGAACACTCCTGTGCAGTGTCTCTGCTGAGGGGCCTCTGGGCAGAGTGCAGACTCACACACTCCTCTTGAGAAAAAAACACAGCCAGATCCTCAAACAGCATTGGTCCCTGAAACAACATGAGAGCCCATCTCAGGACAAGAGTCCCCAAGGCCACCCCCTCACTCAGTGTACGCTGGGAAGAGCTAGAAATATTAGACCACGAAGAAAGAAAGGGGCTTTGTGTAAAAGGTTTCTGAGTGCTGAGGATGTGTATACATGGGTTCTAAGACGGGCGGGGGAGTGGTGCAAATGGCTGAGTGAAAATAGACATAATTTTTGAGGCAGTGGTATAAGATCTAGACAGTGAACTGTGAGAAGTTCTAGAAGAGACTTCTACTCCTTGCTAGTCTCTCCTCCTTCCACGTGACAGTCACTGCTAAGCTCTCTTTAGAATCACATCCAGGCCCAGTCCTTCGTTCAGTTCACCAGTCTTATACACCAATAGAGCCTCCATGTGATTAAGAATCACCTGGGGTTTTGTTTGTTTGTTTGTTTTGGTGTTTATTCGAAAGGTGTGGGGTGACCCTAGAAATCTGCAGTCGGAGTAGCATTCCAGAAAGATACTTTGAGATACTCTGTTATAGCCTTCACCAATGGGCCCTGCTCCCAGTTGGTGGTTCAGAAAGGTAAGATTTTGATAAGCCATTTCTCCCAAGCGCCAGGTCTACGAACAAAGACAGCTTGGTCAAAAGACTTTTGGGGGTCTCAGGAGCCCTCCCACCGAGAGGGGGCATTCCTAAGCCTCTTCCAAAGGAGGGGGGGCAGAGGAAGGGAAATATCGAGAGGAACGGGGACCCCGGGACGGGACCAGCTCTTACCTGGGCCCCGGTTGTTGGGAGCGTGGACGCCATCTCGGGGGGGTGGGAATGCCTTCCTCAAGTCGACACACTGACTTCGGGACAGATCTGGGAGGGGAGAGAATAACCTTCAGAGGGACCAATTGGCTGCAAATGGCTACGCTCCCAGGGCTCCCTCGCTTTCCACCCCTTTAAAACCTGAGCCGACGGCTCCTCTCCGCGGCTCAGCCTCGGAGGGGCCGATCCTGGGCCGGCCAGGTACTACCTACTGCTGTGAGACTAGAGATCCTAGAAAGTGTCCGGTACTCGGAGAGAACGAGCAGAGGTTAACGCCCCACTGACTCTCCAGACCTATAGCCCAACCCACTGCTAGGCTCCCACGCCCCTTTAAGCCCGAGCTGCGGGGAAAGCCACCGGAAACGGCACGCCCCCAAGCCTTTACGAAACTGTGCCCTGTGATTGGCTAGCGTTACCCCCGAAGGGACAGTCCTTCTCGTGCGTTGACCAATCGAGCCCGTGAAAGGAGGACAGATGGCTCACTGAGCATGCTGGGAAATGTAGTTTTTATCCATCTCTCGAAGCTTGCATTTCCGGTTCCGCTGCCTGGGTCTCCCGGGTGAGCTCCTGACCGCTTACCTGCCGGCAGGTAAGTGAATAGGTAGAGTAAGAAGAGTTAGGGTGACTCCGGAGCGACGTAACCTTTTAGGGAATAAGGAAAGCAAGACAAGGAGACTCCAGAACCCAAAAGACTGTCGGCACTGAAATGTGGGTTCGAGCGGCAGTGCCCTGTGGATCCGAAACGCGGGTCCGGACGGGGTGAGGTGAGGGAGTTTCCCGGAGTGCAGATCCTAGTCTTGGCCTGAGCAATCAAGCCCGCTGTATCTGGGGCGGACTGTGTGGCGGTGGAATGAAAAGGGGTGTCTTCTGCGTGGACAGAGTTCAGATCAGCTACGGCCGGGTCGCTAGTCTCGCGTCCGTTGTATTCTTGTAGCCTCTGGCTGCAGCTCAGCTGAGCCAAATCGGGCTCAGCCACAGCGGACCTCAAGCGGGAAGAGAGCCTTTGGCCTGCTTCGTGAGACACGCATGCCTCTTGATCCCTCACATTCGTCATGCCCCATTGTAAATATTTTACACTTTACTGAGAGCCGTCGTGTAGGGATTTGGAATTGAAACTTGAGCTCTGTCCCAAGCTTTGCCACTAATTGCTTGTGTTATCTTGGTCAATATACAATTTTGCTTTTCTCAGCTGCGAAGAGCTCCGAATGCTTTTTCTCATGGGGTAGTTTCAGATTCGTTGTCAGTTTACAATGGTGTCAACATACAAAGGTAAAAAAACGATGATAAGATGATAATAGAAAACTCTGGGTAAGTCTCAGTATATTTTCTTATTCTGGTGCCAAGCATGTGCCTGTAGCTAAAAGGTTACTCAAGAAGTGGTTGCGTGGTTATTGGAGCAATATTATTGGAATTGGCCAAATAAGTAGTGGGAAAGGGAGGAATTAGCCAGGTAGGATAGTTTCAGGTGCAAGTAACAGAAAACCTAACAAAACTCTGTTCAAAAGTAGGACAGGTAAAGGTTGGTTAATTCAGTTTCTCAGTGACACCATCAAGTCCCAATGCTTCCATATTTCTCCTCTGCCATTCTTAGCATGTTGGTGAAAGTGGCAATGGAATCCATATAATACATGCAGATGTGCATTGTACCAGGTACCTACCTATCCTAAACCAGTCATTCTCAAGAGTGAAAAGACTATAGCTACCATAATTGTTTTTGATCAACCATGGTTCACCAACTAGCACTGGCGGAAGGGCCCACCTTCCCTTGGCCATTACTCTCACAAAATCATGGCTCTGTTAGAAAAGAAAAAGAAATAAGTAGAACAGATGTAAAAGAGGTAACTAAGAGCATCTGCCACAAATGACATCTATTGACAGCAAAGTGCTAGCCCTTCTGGGAATGGGTTGCAAAAGAGGTATTTAGGGGTCCCAGGAGGAAGGAGGAAGTTGGTGAAAGCAGAGGTGGAAGGACAAACTTAACTTACATGCTAGACCAATCCAAAGCAGAAATGTGGAAGAAGAGCTAACAGCCTGGTACATGGAGGTCTAAACTAAAAGCACATTCATCATAGGATCATGGTAGTGCTCAAGTAGTTTTCCTTCCCCCTCTTCCTTTGGGCTTATATTTAATGCTATTCTTATATCAAGGATATCTCCTTCAGGGCTCACATTCTCTTGATTTTGATTTCTGGCCCTTTCACCAAGAACAAGAAGCTGTCGTGGCACTTTCCTTTGAACTTTGGTCTCATTACAAAGATATAAACACAGTTTCCAATGACCAGAGTGCAGTTGTAGTATTAACTCAATGAATAACCAGAGAGAGAGGGCTACCTCTGAAATGGGAGACAAAACAAAATCTTCCCTAGACCTTCTAACTACCAAAACTAAGCAAGTAGATTAAGAAGGGGGCTTGAAAGCTTGTGAGGCACCTCTGTGGCTCAGTTGGTTAAGCGTCTGACTCTTGATTTTGGCTCAGGTCATGATGTCATGGTTCATGGGATTGAGCCCTGTGTTTGGCTCTGTACCAACAGCATGGAGCCTGCTTGGGATTCTCTCCCTCTTTTTCTCTGCCCCACCCTCACTCATGAACATACACTCTCTGTCTCAAATAAATAAACATGAAAAAAATTTTTGATAGACCACAAGCAGGGTAGGGGCAGAGAGAGAGGGACAGAGGATCAAAGGCAGACTCTGAGCTGATGGCAGCAAGCCCGATGAGCTTGGACTCAAGAACCATGAAATTACAACCTGAGCTGAAGTTGGATGCTCAACCAGCTGAGCCTCCCAGGTGTCCCAATAAATAAGCATTTTTAAAAAACAGGGATACAGAGGCACCTGGTAGCCTGCTTCAGATTCTGTGTCTCCCTCTGCCCCTTCCCCACTCGCACTCTGTGTCTCTCTCTCTCTCTCAAAAGTAAGATAAAAATAAAGCAAAAAATAAAACAGGGATACAAAACTATGGAAAATAAGATCATTTAAAATGTACTGAAGAGAGCAATAAGGAGACATGCAAATGTTGAGTGTTCATCTTGGGTTGGTGGGCAAATGGTAATTTTTCCCTCTTTATGCTCTATATTGTTGTTATTGCAGTGGGTATGTATTTCTTCCAAAATTAGCACAGTAATTAAGGCAGGAGTTTGGAGTTGGGCTGTGTAGGTTGAAATTGCTCCCAACACTTGAACAACTCTAACATTTTGGATTCATTATTTAACCTCTCAAGGCCTCAGTTTCCATAGCTGCAAAATAGGAACAATGAAGATAACTACCTCATGTCCTTGTTGGGACGATTAAATGAGATACTGTGTCACATAACACCTGAGCATAATAGAAGTGCTCAGAAAATATGAGCTTTATAATTGAAAAGTTTTTTTTTTTTTTAAGTCAATTTATTTATTTTAAGAGAGACAGAAACCACGTGAGTGGGGAGGGGCAGGGAGAGAGAAAATCCCAAGCATGCTCTGTGCTCCCAGCACAGAGCACAACATGGGGCTCGAACTCATGAAATCACAAGATCATGACCTGAGCTAAAACCAAGACTTGGATGCTTAACCAACTGAGCCACCCAGGTATCCCTGAAGAGGTTTTTAAATAAAATTATATTTGTCCTTTAGCAATTAGATACATCGTTGTAGTCCACACCAAGCTTCCTGAAGTGATGTGTTTCCCAGGAACTTGGGAGGAGAATTAAGGCTGAACTTTGAGGATTAAACTGAGAAAATGGAGATGAAATCATGTTTCTATACAAAAAAAGAAGTAACCTTAAGCAAAGCCTGGAAAGTTCATCAAGTTCTGATTTACGGGTCTGAAAAGAAATGTGCTTCCAGAGGGGCCTAGTCGGAGTGGAACCAAGAGGAAGAAGAGTCAGCAAGAGTCTGGCACCCTCCTGGCACTGCCCAGACAAAGCAACGTTGAACGTGTGGGGCAAGCATTCCTGACACCAGAGAAGCTCTCCCTTAAGATTCTGTGTTTCCGTTCCTTGTATACCCTGTTCACCAAGAACTTTCTGATTAGCAATTTAGCTTCCCAGGAACACTGAAAGAGGAAGAGATGTCTGTAGCAGAGATACGAGGATTCCAGTGACCCTTAACCATAAACACGTGACCCAGTATTTGGCTTCAGCCTCAGTCTTTGTGAGTCTGAGCTGTAACCCCAGTCTTAGGGTACACTGATGATATAAATGGAGAACCAGGGGCGCCTGGGTGGCTTAGTCAGTTAAGCGTCTGACTTTCGCTCAGGTCATGATCTCGCGGTTCGTGGGTTCGAACCCCGCGTCGGGCTCTGTGCTGACTGCCAGCTCAGAGCCTGGAGCCTGTTTCAGTCTGTGACTCCCTCTCTCTCTGACCCTCCCCTGCTCACGCTGTCTCTCTCTCTCTCCTAGAAATAAATAAAAACATTAAAAAAAAATAAATAAATGGAGAACCAGACTCTCCCAGTACGCTGGCCTGACCCTCTGAGACCAGGCCAAGTGGCCAGTGATTGTTCTCTGCTACCTCTTTCTTGGTTCTGTGGCAGCAAGCCGCAGCATCCTTGGTAACTCAGTGGACATGCTTGCAGCACTGTACAGCAGAAGGCAGTTTCTCTGGGAGCAAAATATTTGGTTCTTGGTGGTAGTGGCTTTGACCCATGAAAATGTTAATAAGCCCTGGCTATGAATCAGAATAATCTCCCCCACCTCAAGCCAGTCTCATGGAGCTTTTCCTCTCCTGAGAGTGCTCCCAGAATGGTCCAGAGTCCTCTCAGGCCAAGCAGATTCTGGTGAGTAAGCTTACCATCTGTAGGCTTATTCATGAACAAGGTTTCTGCTCCTGGGACCCTTGGTAAAATGTTTGCAGGGTCTTCATGGAAAGCCTGCTTTTGGAAACCCGGCTCTCCTCCTGGGTGGGTCAGGAAAGTGTGATCCTAGAGAAGGTGTCACGGTCTGTAAAATGGGGACAAACATGCCTACTTCTGTGTGCTTGTTGGGAAGCATCCAAGGACCCTCAGGAAGAGCTGTGATACAGGGTGGAGCACATGACAGACACCTAGCAAGTATGTGTTCACTCACAG